ACTTGAGTTTTTACAGGGTTGATACTCAAACCAAAAGCTTTACTCCATTTTTCAATACGTTGAAGGTTGAGATTAATATTTACCACTGCTTCAGATATTTTAGAGAATGGTGCATCACAGTAAATCTGAAGATCGTCTGCATATAGGTGGTAGGAACACGAAAGATTTTGAGAAATAGAATTAATAAAGATTGCAAATAGAAAGGGAGACAATACGCCGCCTTGAGGGACACCAGCTTTCGTGTCACACCATGACGAGAACTTCTCATCAAGGCGGACTCGCTGCTTGCGCCCATACAGATAGCTGTGAAACCAATCAATTAACGTTGGAGATATGTTAAGTAAGCGCAGCAAAGCAAGAAGTACGTCGAAATCAACCGTGTTAAAAGCATTACTGAAGTCCAATAATGTTAGTACCGTCAAGTGGCCATTTTCCATCGCAAGACGTATATCATCGGTAATTTTTACTAGCGTTGTGGTCGTGCTATGGCCGGGCCGGAAGCCGGACTGGAGAGGATTCATAAGGTTGTGGCGAGAAATAAATTTACTAATCTGTTGATGGATTAGACGCTCCAAGACTTTAGATAGGAAAGGAAGAATACAAATAGGACGAAATTCATTAAGTATTTTGGGATTGCTAACTTTAGGTAATGGAATTATTTGAGCTTCTTTCCAAGAAGAAGGAAAGACGGAATTAGAAATAGAGCTATTGAAGAGAAAAGTAAGGACAGGTAGCATAATGTCAAGGATTGGTACTAACATATTTCGGCTTATACCATCACTACCAACCGCATTGGAGGTGACTGACAGTACACACTTCTCAACATCACAATCCGAAAATTGATCAAGAAAGAACTGAGGATGATTAGGAATTGGTTCCGAAGTACACTCTTTTCCTCCCATCGTGCTTGTATAAACAGAATCTAGACTTGTCTGAAAACATAACTCTTGACCAGTCATCCAGAGTCCAAGTTTCGTGTTCTCTGCTATAACTCAGCTTTGAGTTTAAGTGGTGTCTTTCTAATTTTGGGCCATTTGCAGGCCTTAATGGTCTCAAATTTGCTTCAGCCAGACGTCGCCTTACTGTATCTGTACTCAGATAGTTTCCTCCAGCTCGTAAATGGTGATTTTTTACCTCAACGGCCGTAAGAAATCGATTTCTCAAAATTGTTGACACCATATAGCGATCCTCCCGCGCAGTCGTGCACCTCGTTCGGCCTGTTCCTGGTCTTCTTAGGTTGGATCCAGTTTCATGGCAACGCTGGAGTACCCGGTGAACTGTGGAAAGACTCACACCAACAGTTCTCGCTGTATTGCGCTGACTGCGCCCATCTTCAAGCATTGTCATGATCCTGGTGCATTCTTCAGGGGTTAACGACATGATGACTTCAGAATACAATTTTTGTATGACAAACACACGATATTTATTGTAGGTTTTATGTCAAAACTAAAACAAATGCGAAACAAATGCTTTGATTTTTTTAGAACTAAATTGAAAAACAACCATTATCTTCATTGCCAGTTTTCTTACATAATTATCTAAATTAAATAAAAGGGTTTTATATACTATGTTAAATAACATTAAATATTCTTTAATTGAGTTTTTATTTCATAAAGCTAGGTGAGGTAGTTTTCAAGTTATTGAAGATTTTCTAACCGACCCGTTTTCTTTGCGGTCCAGTGTAATAATTAATCATTCATTGTCGTTAGAGAAAAAAAAATGATGATATCATTTGCAGTATCTTAAACTTTGCGCGCTTAGAACCTCTTTTTGTGTTATAATCAGAGGTCGGAATTAGGTAGAGTTATTTACGTACTTGCATCGAAATGTTGATATTAATGTGGACCATCCCCGGATTTCTAATGGACAATCTCGTGTGGCCAACAATCTTACAACTAAATAATAATAAGAACGTCAGAGATAGACAAACAAAACAAAGATAATTAACATAATTTTTTTTTAGTTTACTTTAATTTACAATACAAATTTTGCAACTTTGGACATCCGATGTCATTGATGTAAGTTTGGCAACGTCGTGCGTGCTGTAGTTTAAATTGTGTAAAAGTAAATAACTTTTTATTTAATAAATCACGGGACTTTTTCTGCTCTTTAAAATTAATCTCGGGATTTGAGGCATATCCACTTTATTCTTTCGCTGTATGAAATCAGTGTAAGTACATGAATAACTCTACCTAATTCCGACCACTGGTTATAATTCAGGTCGTGGATAAAGTTCAGAAATGCTGTCAAAGAGTTCACAAGTTTTTGGGTACTACGTTATTAATTAGTATTTAGCGGATAAATAAAACAAAGCTGAAGTTTTATACATAACTGGCTGTTTCCCGTGACTTCGATCGCCTAAATTATAGCATACGTAACCCTCGTATAATGTAGTTTCCCGTAGGTAAAATAAATTTTTAAATCGGTCCAGTATTTTCGGAGGACATTCGTTCTGTTGGCGACTGGCCGGTCAGATATAGGTTAAGTTCTTTTGTAAATGTTAAATGTCAAAATTATTTTGAGTTTATCTCGTTTTCTAATAAAATATTGTTAGTTGATGTCAGAAAGGGATTTTTATTTGCAATTTCTAAATTTTCAAATTACAGTCTTTAATACGTTCCAAACAAATAAAATCAAATCTTATCTATTATTTTTATAAATTTCTCGAATTCGTTAACCAAATTTGTTGTTATTTAGTTTTATTCTTTATAAGAATTTAGAATAACCAACCTTTCAATGAAACAAGACCAATCCTTTGATGTATATCAAAATCGGTCTATTATTGAAGAATTTTATTCTTCTGATGTTGGTTTATGTAAGTAACACGGACAGACCACGCAACCGCTTTGTTTAATATTCTATTCACACAATCAAGTTACGATTCGTGTTGTGTGAGCACGTTTCTCCGAATATTGTTTTTGTTGTAATTAAGTAAGGCGGTAAGTTGCGTCTTTATTAAAACAGGCAACTTTATTAGAATATATAAATAAAGCTTAAATTAATTATTACTTTATTGGTTTCGTAATTACACAAGTGCCTAAGAAAAGATTGTATTGTGTTCAGGGTTAATGTAATAAATCTCAATGCATTCGGGGGATCTCTTAGCTTACAAATGCTCCACAGATTACTAATTAGTAGGACATAACATAAATATATATTATATATAAGTCTGACACGATATTATGAGACTAAATGAAACAACTTTTAATCGGTTTCATCGCGTTGGTTTTATTGACGTTTCGGATCCTTTACAGGTTCCGTGTTCACATAAGACTAAGGTGTTTTTGTCTTTGGTTGATTGTCTTTTTAATTAAGAGTACTGCTACCTTCGAAAACCAATACTAATGGCCTCAAAACACAAAAAAAATAAAACTATTTTATCGCAACGTTTATATTTATTAAATTAAATTATTTTAAAAATACATTTGACTTATTTACTACCGTAATCTACCACCAGTTCCAAATTTAGGAGTCTTGTCTGAGAAGAACTGACGAAACAAACTCCGACAAGAAAACTGACTTGGTACCTTTGATTTAATATTTACATAATGAATTATCTGTATCATTTGGATACAAACGCGATGAAACCGTTCAAAGGTTGTTTCATTTATGGATAGCGCGCGTGACAATATAAAAAAATCACTATTATGAGACTAAGTTAAAGGCTAGCAAATATTATTATCCGCATAAGTATCTCGGTATACTAAAAATAGGTGAACATTTAAGAAGCGCTCCCTTACAAACCAATATTGCTCTTGACAGAGATAAAAAGTGCTTTCCACCATAAAAGGATAGCTCGTCGGGATCCACTTCATAAAGGGATAAGGATCATTCGTGAGTTTCCAACATGGTTCCGTTGGAATGGCGAAAAATACCTATTATTACTCATAGGACTTTCGAGGTTTTGTCATCATTCATTTTGATTCCAAACAAATGTGGTATATTTCAAAATATATTTTGGGAACAACCATATCATATATATGAGTTTGAGTTGGTGAAGTCCCAATCTTTTAATGGCGAGCCTCTTTGTGTCTTATAAATATGTATATTGGGAAAAAATATTCACTGTTATTCACTGCAAGAGCCAATAATTCGATCACAACATTATCTACCGCTGTAGCGGAAGTCCTTACTTAATTACATATAGATATTGGTTCATTAACTTTTCATACGAAATCATAATTAAATCGAACGAAGCAACCATTAATAATATACTTTAAAAAGGGCATCATTGCAGGTAGAAACAGGGAGTTTTTGTGTTAGATATTTTCTTTGTATAGACCACACTTGCATGTTTCCACCATTAACAAGACCATCTGAATGTCACTGAAACGTTGCCCACACGACAAGAAACAACATATCAAATGAATGCCTGCTCAAAAACAGTCGCAAAAAGAAACTGACAAATGGAACGTTGGCGAGCTCTCTAAAATGGCAACACCGATTAAAACTGGCCGCAAAAAGTCCGCTGGCAATGCCGCCCAAATTGCCGTCAAAAAAGAAAACTACGCGTCCCGTGCAAACCGTAATCGTTGGAACGCGACGGACGAAATATGAATGAAAATGTCCGCTATTTTCACGACGGCGTTTTGTTTATTCCAGTCATATTATTGGCTCGTTGATAAAGCGTGGTGATTAATTTTATCTTTCCTGTAATGGCGATTGGCTTGAGCATTTGCTGCGAGAATTCTGTAAATGTATACATAATTACATTATTGTTATACTTATATATTTTTTTATTACAGATATATTTATTTCTGTTTGTTATATTTTCATCATATGTTTTGTAAATTCTAAAGTAATGCAAGACGGCGATTAATCGATGCGATGTTGATTATGTTCACCATCAGACCTTTTACTTCCCCACTATATTGGCTCAGGCCTTCCTTATGGATTGTTATGGGGGATTTGATTATACTGACTAAGTCAAACTAACGAAGCTCCTTTCTTATTGTTTCAGATCAAACTGATCTGCAAAATGGTGCAATGACTCGGGAGCGATGCTGCTGCAGCAGGCGTCGTCGTCGCCTGGTCCCAGCGGCACGGCCAGTCCTAAATTCGTTCCCAGTCCTAGACCGAATCCAAGCCCTAATTTTAATTCCAGACTGACTGGTAGTCCCAGTTTAAGTGATGGAGTCTCAAACACGAGTAGTCCTAAATTGGGCGGCAATAGTCCTAAGTTGGGCGCCAACAGTCCCAAGTTGGGCGCCAGCCCAAAGTTTGGGAGCCCGAGACTGGGGGCTGGGAGTTTTCGATGTAGGACCGTCACGGAAGATGATGCGGCACTGGAAAGGATTCAAATGGAGTTGAAGGAAGGCTGGACGGTGCACACGGGGAGAGATGGCAGACTGTATTATTGCAAGTAAGTATTAGGATGACTAATATTACCATTTCAATATTAATTATAGGATTCTAAAATGTAAATAGATCTTTTCTTTGTATTGCATATCTAATATGCAACATTTTTGTTATAAGTTCAATAATGTTTTTCGATTGGATTTCCAAATCGAATAAGTTTATCGCATCTTTAAAAAAAGCAATATCTGCATCAGGTGTATTTTCATAGATTCCGAATTTCTAAAATAAATAAAGTAGGTATTTATTATTTAGATGTAGGCCTCCTTTCCAGAGGCAAGAAAATTCTTTGTTACGCAAAAAAGATAAGAATAAGGGATAATCTTTTGAGTCGAAATTAACTTTTTAAGTGGCTTTAGCCCGAGACTTTTTCAGAAAACAAAAGAAGTATGGTCCACTGATTCTCAATGTTGCCTTTAATTACTTTCACCTAAAGAACCTCTTCATTACGAAAATTTGAAAGTGTTATTATATTATAAGTATTCATTTTTGATCTTGATTTGTCCAATAATTGTTAATTCATTGTTTTTGAATGACTTATTCTACAAAAAAAAAAACAGGGCAATTGCGCGTTGGACTTGCCTATCGAGGGTTCAATCCAAATTTGTAGGTTATAAATAGTTCTGTAGTTGAATAAAATTAAAACTAAATAATCATATATTAGACAACATCACATATATTGCTCAAATGTCAAGATGAGTAGCTAAAGTTCTCGTATTATAGATTATTTGAGACAACGAAGATACCATAATAGCCAGACCCGAGACAATATAGAAAAGACCATTTTCTATATTGACCAGACCGGAAATCGTACCCGGAACCTAAGCGATAACGACAAATTGAAACTTTCTTAAAAATATTTTTTTAAATACAAGTAAAAAGAATATAATTGCGGGAAAATATTAATTTCTATTGAATTCAGAGGTAGTTTTGTATTTTTCATAATTCCACCTTTTATCCTTGATATCTCGTCATTTTTAAGTACAGTATGTGACGGGTTCGGTGCTTGGGTCAATTAATAAGGCTGATTAGCTTGAGTATAGATTTATTAATTATATAAGGGTAAATAAGAAACTGTAACAAACAAAAATTAAATTTAAAAAACAGTTCGTAAGTTACTTAACTAATACATACTTATCAAATTAACGAATACATACCCCTTGTCGGGCTTCTAGTTAAACTCTTGGATCGTCCAAAATACAGATTGCAATTTAGTACATATGTTATATAATTTGTATCACAATATCACATTCTTTATCACAATCGATAAATTATTTTAAAATTATATAATAAAATTTATACGATTAATACTGTATATTAATTTTCATGTTGTGCATAGAAGAATTTCTTACGAACTGACATCCATAAAGAGTATAATTGATTAGTCAAAATTTTAAATTACGAAAGACGAATAATAAAATGAAATGATGTTGAATTTCAAAAACAAAAAGTTTGCATACTGAAACCTAGGAAAACAAACGGTGGCATGGCACACCGTTACAAGTATATTATTTTCTGAGCTTTTGAATAATCAACTTAATATTTTTCTATTTAAAGAATATATGCCGATGTGTTAAAAAGAATATAAAAAATATATAACTATATCTTTTATTAATTATATATTTTAGATTATATAAGTATTATATAAGAACTAAGTATTATAACGAGTGAGTATTATGTTAATAAAATCATATTTTATTACGGAAACTAGAGGTAATCGCTTAATTAATGTTGTACACTTGCATTGTTTCATGAAATAGGTATTTGTGTTACAGCATACTATTATTTAAGTGCCTATTCGAATTATTTTAAGCATAAAAAACATATTTTTTACGCACTTATTTTTAATTTACTTTACGCACTTATTAAAAAATTGTAAAACAACAAAGAACACTATGGGCGAGTGGTTATACGCCAGTTTAAGAGTATCGCCGTCTCTGAGGTCCCTGGCTTGATTCAATTGTAACAATGTGGAAAATGAGCTTTTCTATGTTGTCTGAAGTCTGGGTGTTATGTCACCGTCGTCGGTTCAAATACTATCATCATCATCATCATCAGCCCTTTTACGTCCCCACTGCAGAGGCTCATGCCTTTCTTATGGATGGTTAAGGAGGATGGGCCATGAACCTTCACGCTGGGGGATTAGAGGGTATAAACGACTGTAAATGCAGCCGGGACCAACGGCTTAATGTGCCTTCCGAAGCACGAAGCTCGAGATAATAACTTTTGGTCACCCATCCCATGACCGACCTTTGCGAAAGTTGCTTAACAACAACGATCGCGGGCCGCGGCGCTTATCCACTACGCCACCGAGGTACTTATATATGGCTTAAAGCAATATTACATGCATAAATATTGTTAATAGGGATGGTCACTGGGTAAAAAAAATCTATTTAGTTCGTCAATTAGATAATAGAAAAATATTAGATACGTATTTTTTGCTTGAATTTAACAAGAAACGGCTTAGATAATGGATTTTTAAGTAATAGATTGGGGCTCTCTACGTCACAACTATGTAGAAAATGTACAAAGGTGTGATGTCATAAGACATTTCAACACAACGTATCGCTGTAATTTATTGATTATCTACCTAACGGATAAACAGACAACGATTAGTTATTGCCAGACAGGGGGGCATATTCTACTAAATAAATTTTGTTTAAATCGAATCGAAAACGGATCGAAACCGAACGAAACTACAGTTTTTTTATGGTTTTTCTATTCTACAAAGTGACATACGATACAATTCCAGTTCTATTTTAGCTGGAATTAAATCGTATGTCACTTTGTAGAATAGGAAAACCATTAAAAACTGTAGTTTCAATCGGTTTCGATCCGTTTTCGATAGGATTTAAACAATTATTTAGTAGAATCGGCCCCCTGAAGATTAAAAATACTTCACTGTGGCAATTTTTGTTTGTTTTATAAATGAATTTTGATTTGGATTAGAGATTGTGACTCATTGTTAGGTCGTAAATGATTTAAGATTCCAACCTAAATTGCTACTAGGGTGTTTATAATATTATGTAAAATAAGATAAATGTTGCCGGTCCACAGCTCGCTTGCAATGTTTATAATACGACAAAATAGTTACAAACAAAAGGTCGGAACCAAACACATCCTATGCGATTAACTAAATTGCTAGAGATTAACTCAAATGGGGTCAGTTAGTTTCTCTTTACAGAAACAAATTTTACCGACTTGTATTAAATAATATTACTTTTAAAGTATAAGTCCACATCGTGGCCGAATCACCAGGACAACAAGGACGACCTAGGAGAAAATAACAAACAACCGTATTGTATACTTTTTCCTTTATTAAAGTTGAATAAAAAAAAAAAGGACTCTCGCTTTCAGGACTATTCATCAAATAGATGCTAGTTACTATTTTACTGTTATTCATTGTCATCAGCCCTGTTACATCCCCACTGGCCTCCCTTATGGATGGTTAAGGAGGATGACGCTCCACGCGGGCCCAATGCGGGTTGCAGGCTATTAACGACTGCAGACGCAGCCGAGGCCAACGACGTGCCTTCTATTGCACGGAGTAGCCCGAGTTAATTTTTTTTGGAGACCCATCCTGTGACCGACCTCTGCGAAAGTTGCTTAATAACCACGAGCGTGGGCCGCGGCGCTTATCGACTATGCCACCGAGAAACCACCTTTATTCATCATTATAATATTCCTATCAATGTTTGTATCGATTCTGAAGCCTAGAGCAGTCTGGTACAACTTTTTTGTCTATTTTTTTCGTTCCAGTTTTTTTTTTCATTATTACACAATAAGTCGGATGTTCATCAACAAAAGCTCTCCCGTCTCGTTCCACGTAACGCAACACATTGTTTCGTCCGTCATGCTTTGAAATAAAATGTTTTCTGACGTTTCAGTTGTCAGTGGCCGACAACCGCCTTTTGTTCTTTACACCCTGAAAATGAATACTGGGTAAATAATCTATAGTTTTGTCCTCTGAAATTTATAGTTGAAGTTTAGTCGGAATTCACTCCATATTTGACCCGTACGAAAAACAAGAAGGTTAGAAAAGCAGTGGATATATATGAACTTATTAACATAATTTTATTCAAACGGTTAGCGGCTATTTCTAAGAACGAGCTAAAAAATCATCAGCTCTAATAGGAGTAATGACATTCACAAAAACCATGTCATTACCAGATCAATACATTAATATAATAGAGAGAAAAAAACTATGGTCTTATAATGATAAAATAATAATTGAATAATAATGGAACTAAAATAATTTTTGATATATAAAGAGTTTAGAAGAAATCACCTATCCAGTTGCTGGACTATCTTAAGTCCAAGCATTCTTATCTGTTATATAATCGGATAAATTATTTTTCTGTAGAAAAACTGACTTTATGTTAAGTATCCGATGTAACTTAAGGCCAGAACACCAAGTTCCTACACCATATTGTTGTACAGTGCGGTCTATTTTCAAAACACTAATAATTAGATATGTACTAAGATTTTAAAATTCTCGTACATGGCTCAGATTCCAAGTAGCTAAAGCATTATGGCGTGGAGTATATGAAACAATGAATGTACTGCAACCCAAATCTGAGACAACATAGAAAAGTTTATTTTCTACAATGACCCCATAGGGAAATCCGGAATCCGGGCCCTCAGAAATGGTACCTTGAAATCAGCGTGCGAGTTACTTCACTAAGGAGGCCGTTTTTTCATTGCTTTATTTTTACTGTAAAATATTTTGTGACGGTATTTGTTTGTGTTTTAAAGAAGAAACAAAAAGAGTAAATGTTTCATCAACCCTAGAATTAAATTGATTCATAAATATTTATTTAAGACAATCAGTAACATACAATAATCCAAGCATAAAATGTATAGCTATTGGATAATAAAGACTTTTTATTTTGAGACATTTTAAAAGAAATAAGCTGGTACCAAAGAGGTTATGAATATATTTCCGATTTGAATGCTCTGAAACTGTCGCTGAGTAATTATAGATATATAAGAAAAAAAGGGATACATGATT